AGAGAGGGAGAGAGAGAGAGAGAGAGAGAGAGAGAGAGAGAGAGAGAGATGGTTAAATATTAAATTCAACGCATCTTATATATATTCCTTACATTTTCACGATATTTAATAAATTTAAATTAAATGAAAATTGCTTTAATTTACTTATTTTAAAAATAACCAAATTTTGTATTGCTTTGATTAAATTTTTATCCATTTACATTTAATAATAATAATTTAAAAAAAATTGAATATATGAACGCATGAGCCCACACCCACACAAATGAACACACGCAGAGCCAAGTATTATCGACATAGATGTAAAGTTTTCAATCGTTTTCAATTTTTTACATTTTACCGTACTAATTGTGTACTTAAACTAGATTATAGCGAATAAATTGAATCAATCTTATTATATAAAATTATCTCGTTAAAAGCTCATTAAAAGCTATTTATTTGCTTATTTCTAAATATATAGAATGTTTATGTACGTAATATATTTAATTATTGATGAATATGTTTCAGAATTTTATGCTGATTTACTAACAAAATTTATTTTATATTTACATTAATATATCAATTGTTACATTTCTATATATTATGCTACTTTTTAGGGTGACAAGGGTGGTCCACTATTATATGAAAATGAAATTATAGCCATTAATATAGGATCATATCCACAAGTACATTCTATCGATGACGATTATAAAATTAACTTTCACACTGGCCTTGATTTTTATAAAATTTTTATAACGCATATATTAGAATATTTTTAAAATATATCCAGTATCTAGTGTTAATATGTACATGTATTTAAATGAAACTAGAAATTTGATTTATTACTTTTATCACTTGTTTATATAATCATTTGAGATCGTTTTATTAATATGAAATAAAAATCTCAGTCTCGCACAATTTCAATAGTGAGCAACGATATTTCACTTATGCTTGTAATATATTTTATATACGAGACTTTATTTATTATGTATTATTTATTTGTAAAATGCAAAACTTTCTTTAAAAATTTCTTTATCAATTGATATTATAGTATAGTTTATTTATTTACAGTTTACAGTTTGCTGAAAGTTTTGTAAAGATTTTAACAAATTTTTGTACAATTACGTGTCATCAAATTGATACACATTAATATTTGTAGAACAACTGACTTTATATAATAAACAAATGAGAATAAAAAATTATTATGTTCACTGTTGTGTTGATTATTTTTATGTTAAAAGATTGTTATGTTAACTGGTGCTCAAGAAGAATGTTTGTCAGATAAATATAAATCTCTATTATCTTAACATTTTGTTGAATTCATTGGAATCATATTTCCAAGTTCTTCTTCAAGATTATTTGGCAATTTGAGGAGTTAGATCATAATTCGAGTAATTGCTTATTCAAAATCAATTATCAGAGATATATACAGCGGCATTACACACTTTCACATAATTCGGGGCTTAAAGGAGAAAAACTTCGTCTTTGAGCTTTTTATGGGTTTGAGAAACGTTCGATACTCGAGGACTCTAAGACGAGAGAGTTTATGGTTAATTTTCTTTTATCCTGTTTGAAAATTTGTGATCGATTCAAATATTAAAGTGACCACGTAAAAACTGTAGGTGTTTATTAAAAATATTTTTTTTTTCTGAATTTGTATGTATGAATATTATGAAAATCAAAATTCATAGTAAATAATCAATTAATAGTTTAATAAATTAATTAAATATATCATATGTATTAAATTATATATTAAACAACTTTAGAATGGAATGTATGTATGTTGAGTTATATTATTAATTAATTTAAATTAATTTATAAGTGAAAACTAAATGATGTAATTCAATTAATGTGATTTATTTATATATATTGACTTTAATGGTATTATCTAAGTATTTATAATTCAATTTGGATAATCTATATATTTATATTTTATTTTACTAGCGAATACTATTTAATGATAATAATGGACGATTAAAGTCGAAAGGTTTTTTTAAATTTAAAATGAAATTTGCAAATATATCAAGTTGATCTTAGTAAATTATAATGTAATCATAATTATGAATTTATGTGATTAATTAGAATAAAAAATAATTTTAAGTTGGCAATTATTTACAGAATTTCCTAAAAAATTTTTTATAAAATAAAAATTCGAATTTGTGTAACAAATATCTTACAAATGCTGTCATCATTTGAAGCAAATATTATCGACAAACAATACTTGATATTTAATAAATCATAAATCTGATATTTAAGTGAGAAGCAAAACCTAAGGACGTTATCTATTTATCGTTTTCGAGAAATCAAAACTAATAATAAAAATTGCTTATGTTGTTGCAACCTTCTTGTTAATTTTTATGCCCTGTAATATCTGGAGGCATCGTCGTATTAATCTTCTACTTATGATAGATGATTCTGACGATAAATACGTGTCAAATGTGCGGAAGAGCATAAAAAAAATTAAGATACTTGGAGAAATAGAGCAGTTTGGCAAGACGTGTCACGATGGTATGAGTCTGTGGAAAAATAGGGAGGGATGCTCGAGCATGCAAGAGAAAATAAATTTACTAAGTACTGTTCTGAAAAGATCTACCAAATCCCGACCTACAAGGAATGTCTATAGGATACGAGACTGAGGGTACAACATGCGATTTTCCTTCCCTGACGATGATTACGGCTAAGACTGAGGATCCAGTCGTGAATGCAACACTCAGTGATTGTAAGTAAGCGGCTGGAACCAACAGCTGCTTGCTACAAAAGTATCAGTCGTTTCTATCTCTCTCTCTCTCTCCCTCCCTCTCTCTCTCTCTCTCTCTCTCTCTCTCTGTATCATGCCATTTCTCGCTCTCTTTCTTCCTTTGTTCACGCTTTCCCTTATGAACAACATTGGAATACCTGAATAATAAGCGCATCTAGTGGTCGTCTATACAATTTTTGTATTTACAATTATTAATATTTACTTAATAAATACATTGTATCATTGAAATTACGCGAAGCTTTATCGCGCGATACTATACATTTTATTTCGTAACATTATACAGAATGGTATAATAATAAGTATCGACGCAGTAAGTATCATTATATAAACCAAATGTATGTAAATCGAATCAATACAATTTTTTTTTCCCGTATTTGAGATTACGCAACTTTTCTCTCCCCTAGATCGCACAATAGCCTGTTAAAAGGACCGCAAAGAATACTTTACAAATTTTCATTTTCATGATTAAATACTCTTATGCACTGCTAGTGTTTAATTGCAGAAATTAAAATACGCATGTATATCATATCATTTTTATTATAAAAGAACGAAATTTTTTGATCCTAAAAATATTTGAAATAATCAATCTTAGATATATAACATAAAATTATTACGTTGTATGAAAATTATAAAAAGTTTATAAAAATATTATCATAACTTAATAAATATTG